CCGCGCCCGTGACCGCCGTCGCCGTCTCCTGCAGCGGCCCGCGCCGAGCCGAGCCGAGCCGCCCGCGGGGTCGCCGCGCCCCATGGACAGGCACAAAGTGAAGCGGCAGAGGCTGGACCGCATCTGCGAAGGTGAGGCCCGGGCTCCAAGCCGGGCCCGGGGCCTCCCTGAGCCCGGGCCCCTCGGGGAGGGCCCGCTCCCAGCTGCCTGTAGGGAAGTGGCCGCGGGCGCGGGAGGGACCGGCTCCGGCGGGAGATCCCGGGCAGTCCGCAGCGGTGATGCCCTGAGCCGCACTTTGTCTGGCGCAGGCCCGAGGCGGGAGTCTTCTCGGAGACTTAACAAGACGGGTCCCTGCAGCCCAGTCCGAGGAGAGAGTACTTGCAAACGCAGAACGCTGCAGGGCAAGTCCCGACACCAGTGTGGTGCTTGGCCTCACTTGCTTCTCTGGCACTGCACCCGCAGGAGCCCCCTCGAGGGTCCTGGCAGGCTGCGGACACGCACTGCACCCGCAGGAGCCCCCTCGAGGGTCCTGGCAGGCTGCGGACACGCATTGCTGCGACATTTTAAAAGGGCAGGGGTGGGACTTGCTGGGCATAGGAGTGCGTGCCAGCTGGTCCCTTGCAGCAGCTCTGCTTGTCTGCTCTGGTTTCCGGATAAGTAGGACTAAAAATCGTTAGTTTTACACTTGAATGAACCAGAAAGTAGATTATTGCGGTTTAGGTTTGCATGCAACAAGTTAGCAGCAGATGGATGAAACAGTTCCCATGTTGTAGCCGAGTCTGATGTACATCTTCCTTTGCTTCACTTTTAAGCTGCATAACTGTCTAATCAATCTGTGCCTTCACCAGTGTCAGTGGAGGGAAGTTTTCTGGAAAGGGAATTTGCAGCACTGTCTGGCTCTTTCTTATTCTTGTGTGTGCGCGTTGCTGTGCTCCTTCAGCCGTGTTAACGCACTGCTTTGAGCCCTGTTCCCTGAAGAGGCGTGGACAGATCTGCCGTGGCTTCCTTTTTCCAAATTCTTTTTGTGCTTATCGATTCTTTCGTGCCTTTTGACTAGGTTGCTTATTATAGGACTGGCACAAGCAACCTTTCAACAATGGCGGGCTGCCCATTTCCTGTTGCTGGATGATTTTTCCCTTTCCCCCACAGCAGATGGGGAGGCACAGGGAGCAAGTTGTGAGACCAATGAGGGAACTGGGGCTACAGGGGCATGGACCCTCACAAGCCTCCAGAGGCCCCAATGGCTTCAGGTGACTACTGCAGGTCGGATCTAATCTCTGGGCTGTAGGTTGCCATCCCCTGCTACAGAAGGTAGTTCCTCTCATGTCCCATTCAGTCGGTGCTAACTAGGGTGCTGCCTGCTTCTCATGTTAGCCCTGGGCTCTGGAATTCATTTTGTTCCTTCCTGTGCACAGTCGGTCCTAACTTCCTTTTTCCACAGGCATACGGCCACCCATTGTGAATGGACCGATGCCAGCCCGACCACTGGTTGCGCTCCTGGATGGGAGAGATTGTACTGTTGAGATGCCCATCCTGAAGGATGTTGCTACAGTGGCCTTCTGTGATGCTCAGTCGACTCAGGAAATCCACGAAAAGGTAGGGAGACCAAATGAGTCCACGTGGGGATGGAACAGATTGCCTCCATGAGCAGCTGAAACATGGAATGACTCTGAGGGGGGTGTTTTTTGTCTGCAGGTGCTGAATGAGGCTGTGGGGGCTCTCATGTATCACACCATCACCCTATCCCGCCAGGACCTGGAGAAGTTCAAAGCTCTCCGTGTCATTGTGCGCATTGGCAGCGGCTATGACAATGTGGACATTAAGTCAGCTGCAGAATTAGGTACGATGAGCTCTGTCTCTCTTCTGAGAACATAAGTGACTATGAAGGGACATTCACATTCACTTTCCCTTTCTGCTTTGGAATGACCAGACTCGTTGGACATACCCAAATAAGCCAAACAAGGTCAGGCCTCATGTGGAGGAGACAGAAAGTTCAAGCACAAAGATTTTATGGCAGCTGGCCTAAGAAGAAGGTTAGGTTCTTGGTCACAAAGGTTTCCAAATCTTTGACGCAGCTGCTAACTTAGCTTTCCGTAAACTGCTTCCTTGTCGTCTTGACGACGAGGTCCTGGACCTGTTTAAGGTCCAGTTAGATATTTACTATGCTGGAAGCAAATAGCCTGATGTTGCCCTGCAAATCGATTTCAGTTGCTTAGGAATCATTATGTCACTTCCAGAAGGGTTTTGCGTTCAACTAAGTTGTGGATGAACATTTTCAAGGTCTTGATGGCAGTGGCTGTATGTAGTCCTTGATGCCTTTATTCTTTCTTAGCTGCCACAGATTGGGGGGGGGGGGGGAGATATCTGTCTGTATGCTTTGCCAAGAGGTATTTGCAATGCTGAATCATCTGTGCTTTCAATTTCCACCTGGATTGATCTCATGGTTCTGATGTGAGTGTTGAGGCTTGGCTGTTTTTGTGCTGACACGTTTGAACTGCTCCATTAAGTGCCAGGCAATGTTATATGGACACTTGCCTTGCTGCTCTATGCCTGTTACCTCCTAAGCCAGCTGTAGTGTGGGTGTGGTAGTGCAGCCCTGTGCTTAGTGCACTTCCACAGGTACCCTGCCAGGACAAAAGCAGGAGCAGGTGCAGCCTATCTCAGAATGGTGCTGCTTGAATAGGATAGATGTACCTTGTTAAGTCTCTCTTAGCTTGACAAGATGCCTGGGCCTTAGGCTCCAGTAAAACCTCTTTTCCCAAAGAAGTTTTGAGATTTTGGGCTAAGGTTTAGGCAGAAGATCTGCTTTGCCCTATTTGAACCTGACAGCTGGCTATCTAATGTTGAGAAGTTTCTCTGGAGATCCTGGCCATCTGTACAGTCCAGACAGTCTTCTCAATGCAGGAGGAAATTAGATAGAACTTGAGGTGATTCTAAGGTGTTTTCCTTCCTTCCATGACATGGCTCATACAGAGCTCTGACACCAATTGCTTCCTGGTGGCAAGGTATCTTTCATTGCTTGCCTTTGTTAGCATTATGGTTTGCCTTGTCATTCTTGACCAGGGTATCTGAGAGAGTCCATGTGGCTGCACAGTGCCTCCGTAGTGGTAATTGTAATGACTGTTTTTTTAAAATGGCAAATGGATTTTGAGAAGGAATCCTGTGGTTTCCAGTCTGTACATGTTGTGGCTTAGCAGCAGCAACAGCAGGATGACTGGGAAACCTGTGCTTGCAGTCTGGCTTTGAGCATCTGGTACAGAAAGCATGGAGACAGCCACCTCTGTAAATCTGCTCCCATGATCTGCTGGGCAGCCCCTTAGGAATGCCCTGGAATGAATGTCAGTCCTTGGGCCCGCGCTGTTCAACATCTTCATCAGTGATTTGGACGAGGGGGTAAAAAGCACCCTGTTCACATTTGCTGATGACACTAAGATGTGGGGGGACGTGGGCACACTAGAAGGAAGCAACAGGCTACAGTCTGACCTAGACAGGTTACAAGGGTGGGCGGATGAGAATAGGATGGGTTTCAACACAGACAAGTGCAAGGTGATGCACCTGGGGAGGAACAACCGGCGCACCATACCTACAGGTTGGGGAACTCCCCTCTTGTCAGCACGGAGGTGGAAAAGGATCTCGGAGTCATCGTTGACTCCAAGATGAACATGGTTCAGCAGTGTTGGGAGGCAGTTAGGAAGGCCCACCGTACCTTGTCATGCATCCACAGATGCATTTCAAGCAGGTCCAAAGAGG